CTATATCTGCAAGCTATTTACCAGTCTGCTTCTCTGCCATTTGTGATGTGCCAGGTGCTGGTGCCATGTTGTTTGGACTTCCAGCCACCAAAATATGAGCCAAATAAACTCTTTTTGAAATAAAGTACCCAGCTTCTGGTATTTTGTTATAAGCAACACAAAAAACTAAGATAGCTCTCCACATTAAAAAGAATAGAGGGTGGTCCTTCCCTGTCTCTGTAACTTCCATTGCCATCATCCTTTGAATTGGGAGTTCAGAGTTAACAATCACTATACCCTTAACACTAATGTAGTGACTACACTATCTTAAGCACAATTATCAATATTATCATAACTATGGAAGTTTAAAATTGAGGTCAGCCAGTGCTCACAACCAACTATTTCTTCTTACCCTCAGCTTTGTTTGGCACAAACTTTAACTTAGGCTCCTCTCCTCCTGACAGACTCTGAAACTTTGGCTCACCTCCAAGTTTAAAGACACACTATAGCACTAAGATGCAGGAATTCTAACAGCTTGTTCTCAGAATCTCAGGGCAAAATAATTCCTGTTGAAATGCTCTAGTTTTGCCACCTGCACACCACACCCTTCCTCCTTCCCTGAAAGTTTCTGCTAAACCATCTTACTCCTCCCTTTTTCTCCCTCCCCCTTTTTTGATTTATTTTGAGAAGCTTGCAAATTTCTGAGATTAGAACATTCTTCATGTTGAAATAGTCTTTCTGAATAAAATCTCTCCATATCTAAGTCCTGATTTCTTTTTATTTTACATGAGAAATATCACTGCTATGGAGTGCTAAGGGGAAAGTTTGTAGCCATGAATGCATGTACTAAAACACAGAAGATCTCAAATAAATGACTTAGGCTGTGTCTCAAACTCCTAGAAAAACAAGAACAAGTTAAACCCAAGCAAATAGAAGGAGAGAGAGAATAAAAATATAAGGACTGAAATCAATGAAATAGAGACCAAAAAACTCCTAAAGAAAGAATCAACAAACAAACATTTTGGTTCTATGAAAAGATAAATAAGATTAAAAAACCTCAGCAAACTTGACTAATGTTGCCGTTTAATGGCAGACTTGGGTGACCAGAGCCAGAAAAGATGGGGGGACTATCGAGTCTGTGCTCAATAGCCACTTTTTTGAAGATCACGTCTGCTTTTTATAAGGTGTTTTTCACAGACAGCATTTGGTCAGAAAAAGTATTACATGTCAAGGTTACATTAGTACAGGGAAGCAAATTAAAATTAACTCTTTGTCATGTCTCTTTTAAATGGGAACAGAGAAGCAGGAAAAACACATGGTCAGCAACCTTCTTATTTACATCTGAAGGACATGAAGCCATCTGGGAACCTTGAGTATTGTTTGTTTTTCTGGAGGTCTGGTTCTGAGACCTTTGCCTCAGTTCCTTAGAGCTTTCTCACAAGACCAGATGTCAAATCACACAGGCACTGCCCCACTGTTGGCTCTGACAATTCCCCCTTTTTTATTTTTTAAATGTAGCAATCCCAGCACGACTGTGGCTTTACAAGTTTTGAAAGATTTTAATTGTCATTAGAGACAGAGTATCTTATACCAAAAATGACAAGACAAACAGTAAGGTAATGTTAGAAGGAGAAGGAATTATTAGCAGGGAAATAGGTTTTAAAGGATCAAATTTGGTTAAAAATGTAGTCTGTAATAGTGACTTAAATAATTATAATTCATTTTAGTAGCAGGTGTTAAAGTCTGAGGGCTGTCCAGGGCAGTATTACCTTCTAAGATAGAAAACAAATTAGTAAGTTTATAATTTGGTATGTCCAGAGAAGGGCAAAGCCAATTAATGTCTCTTATACTTTTGAAAATCATTTAGGGTTTTTAATGAGTCTCTTTATATGGTAGATTTTTTGAGAACAAATGGTGAGTCGCTCAGCTGTATGACTTAAATATTGAAAAGGAGTAGCAGTTTGAATTTTTTTTTCAGGAGTTATTACCAATCCTCCTACTTGTAAAGCTTTTTGTGTGGTTTAAAAATTTTATGTAATTGTTTAGAACGTGTGAGAAATTGAAATGTCATCCATATAGTAGATGATATATGCATCAGGAAATATTACCCTAATAAGTTGTAATATTTTTTCTACAAAATACTGACAAAGAGTGGGGAAATTATTAACCTTTGGCAGCACTGTCCATTGATATCTTTGTAAAGGTTTTTGTTGATTTAGGCTAGGAATGGAAGATGCAAACCTTTCCCTATCTTTGGGATGTATAGGTATAGTATAAAAGCCATCTTGTAAATCTAAAACAATCAAAGGCCATTCTTTCTTCCCAAGATCTTGTTGGGGCAAATACGTAAATAATGCATTTCCTCTTTAATGTTTTCCATTTCAGGATATTTATCCCAATCCTCGTCCTCTGGAGGAGGAGGATAAAGATTAGCAGTTTCTCCAGAGGAGCCATTGCAATTGCTGGTGCTGCAAGCGGCAGTGGTTTACTTTGGTTTCCTCTGGCACAGTAAAGCCATGACTACAGCACTCTTTACTTTCCTCAGTGACTTTTTTTTTATATCTCCTGCATCTAATATACTCATGAAGGGATGCAACAGTCTCTCTTTCTAAATTTCCTTCCCTTCTCTCTCCCCCAAGTATAAGAATTACAGATTTAACCAGAGCCCATGTTATCCAAAAATGAACAGGTATCTTTTCTCCCTGTCTGTATGCCTTTCAACATTTTACGTTCTCGCTCCCAAACTTCTTTACCTAAAGTACCTTCCTCAGGAAACCAAGGATTATACTCACAAACAACTTTTAAACAGTCCTTTAACTGTTGTTTGGAAACTTGAGCTCCTCTTTGCAATAAGAAATGATGCACAAGTGAAAGAAAAGGCTGAACTCTGCACTGATTTTGCCCCATCTTGTCTCACTTACTTCCCTTCTGTGAGGGTCTCCACATCACTTTCAAAATTATCCTTCAGGTCCCTGTTCAGGCACCAACTGTTGCCATTTAATGGCGGGACCTGGGTGACCAGAGCCGGAAAAGATGGAGGGACTATCGAGTCTGTGCTCAATAGCCACTTTTTTGAAGATTGCTTCTGCTTTTCATAAGTTATTTTTTCACAGAGAGCATTTGATCAGAAAAAGCATGCCAAGTATTACATGTCAAGGTTACCTTAGTACAGGGAAGCACAATTAAAATTAATTTTTTTATGTCTCTTTTAAAACAGGAACAGAGAGGCAGGAGAAGCACACGGTCAGCATAACCTTTTTATTTACATCTGAAGGACATGACCATCTGGGAACCTTGAGCACTGTTGTTTTTCTGGAGGTCTGGTTCTGAGACCTTTGCCTCAGTTCCTTAGAGCTTTCTCACAAGGCCAGATGCCAAATCACACAGGCACGGACCCACTGTTGGCTCTGAAGACTAAAATGAGGAGAGAAGAACCAAATTCATAAAATTAGATATAAAAAAGGTGATATCACAACAAACACCAACAAAATTCAAAGGATCATTAGGGAATACTTCAAAAACCCGTATTCAAATAAATTAGAAATCTGGAAGAAATGGATATATTTCTAGACACATCTGACCATCCAAATTTAAGCCAAGAGGATATAAATTACCTAAATAAATTATAAATAGTCTCCCAAAAAAGGAAAGTCCAAACCCGATAGACTCACTGCTGAATTCTACCACACCTTTATAGAAGAACTAATACGAATGCTCCTCAAATTTCTCCATGGAATAGAAAGGGAAATAACACTGCCAAAATCATCCTATGGCGTCAGTATCACACTCATCCCAAACCAGACAAGGATACAACAACAAAAAAAGAGAATTATAGGCCAACCTCTTTTAATAACTAAGATACAAAAATTCTCAATGAAATATTGGCAAACTGAATTCAGCAACATAACAAAAAAGATAATACAAAATGATCAAGTCAGTTTCATTCCAGGGATGCAGAGATGGTTCAACATAAATCATTAAATGCAATATAGCATATGAACAGAAGCAAAGACAAAAACCACATGATCTTAATACATGCACAAAAAGCCTTGACAAAATTAAACATCCTTTCATGATAAAAGCTCTGATAAAACTAGCAATAGAAGGAATGTACCTCAACATAATAAAGGCTGTATATAAACAGCCTGTCTCCAATATCAGATTAAGTGGGGGAAAAACTGAAACCCTTTTCCTCTGAAGTCAGGAATGAGACCAGGGTGTCCACTTTCTCCACTCTTATTGGACAAAGTCTTGGAGTTCCTAGCCAGAGCAATAAGACAGGAAGAAGAATAAAAGAAATTCAAATAGGAATGAAAGAAGTCAAATAGTCAATATTTGCAGATGACATGATCTTATACCTAAAAGACTGAAAAAACTCCACCAAAAAACTCTTAGACATCATAAATGCCTTCAGCAAAGTAGTGGGATGCAAACTTAATTTACAAAAATCAGTAATACTTCTAAATATCAACAATAAACAGACTGAGAAAGGATTTAGGAAAATAATTCCATTTATAATAACCTCAAAAAATAAAATGCCTAGGAAAAAACTTAACAAAGAAAAGTAAAGACCTCTACAAGGAAAACTATAAACCACTGAAAGAAATCAAAGAAGACTACAGAAGATGTAAAGATCTTCCAAACTCATAGATTGGTACAACTGATATTGGGAAAAGTCATATTATCAAAAGCAATCTACATGTTTGATACAATCCCTACATATATTCCATGTACATTCATCACAGAAATTGAAAAAATAAACCCTAAAGATTATATATGGAAGCACAAAACACCAAGAATAGCCAAGGTAATTCTGAACAAAAAGAGAAACATGGGAGGTATCACAATACCTGATTTCAAACTATATTACAGAGCCATAGCTATAAAAACAGCATGGTGGGCTGGCAGAGTGGCTCAAGTGGTAAAGCCCCAGCCTAGGAAGCATGAGGCCCTGAGTTCAAGCTCAGTACCACAATAAAAAAAAATCATCAAGCTTTCCTTTCACTTCTGGGGTGGCAGCCATGAGTATGCTCAGGCTTCAGAAGAGGGTTGCCTCCAGTGTCCCCCACTGTGGCAAAAAGAAGGTCTAGTTGAATCCCAATGAGACCAATGAAATCACCAATGCCAACTCTCATCAGCAGATCCAGAAGCTGATCAAAGATGGGCTGATCATCTGCAAGCCTGTGACTGTCTATTCTCAGGCTCAATACAGGAAAAGCACTTTGGCTCACGGGAAGAGCAGGCATATGGCCATAGGGAAGCAAAAGGGTACAGTCAATGCCCAAATGACCTGGATAAGGAGGGTGCGGATTCTGTGCAGGCTGCAGGAGACACCATGAACCTAAGACTGACAGCCACATGTATCACAGCCTGTACCTGAAGGTGAAGAGGAATGTGTTTAAAACAAGCAGATTCTCATGAAACACATTTACAAGCTGAAGGCAGACAAGGCCCACAGCTGAGGCCCACAGGGCTGAGACCAAAGAAGCACGCAAGCTTCTGAGGAGCTCCTCCATGCCAAAAAGGAGATCACAAAGACTCCATCCAAGAAGGAAGAGACCAAGAAGTGAAGCTCCCCTCTCACGTCTATACATAGTGGCCTTGGTGATCAGTCATTAAAATAAAACAAGTCTTTATCTTACAAAAAAAATAGCATGGTACTGCCATAAAAACAAATATGAAGACCAACAGAACAGAAGACCCAGATATGAATCCATGCAGTTATGCCCATCTTATGTTTGACAAAAGTGCTCAAAACATATGATGGAGAAAGGCAGCCTCTTCAACAAATAATGCTGGAAAATCTGGTGTCTGTATGCAGAAACTCAAAGTGGATTAAGGAACTTAATACCTGAAACTTTGAAACTAGTGCAGGAAAGAGTAGGCAATACATTGGAGCATATAGATATAGGCAATACATTCCTCAATAGAACTCTAATGGCTCAACAACTAAGAGAAAGGATTGACAAATGGAACTACAGGAAACTAAAAAGCTTCTTCACAGCAAAAGAAATGGCCACCAGATTGAAGAGGCAGCCCAAAGAATGGCAGAAAATCTTTGTAATCTGACAAGAGATTAATAACCAGAATATACTAGAAACTCAAAAACTAAACTTCCCCTGCCCCCAAAATCGATGATGCAATGAATAAATGGGCAACTGAACTGAACAGAACTTTCTCAAAAGAAGTACAAGTGGCCAAAAAACACATGTTCAACATCCCTGGCCATAAAGGAAATGCAAATCAAAACCATATTAAATTCTACCTCACTCCTGTTAGAATGGCTATTATCAAGAACACAAACAACAACAAATGTCAGTGAGGATGTGGGAGAAAAGTAACCCTCATACACTATTGGTGGGAATGTAAATTAGTACAAACACTATGGAAAATAGTATGGAGGCACCTCAAAACAACTAAAAGTAGAACTACCATATGATCCAGTAATTCCACTCCTAGGCATATATCCAAAAGAATGTAAGTCAGTTTACAATAAAGACACCTACACACACGTTTATTGCAGCATTATTCACAATAGCTAAACTTTGAAAACAGCCAAGATGACCCAAAACTGATGAACAGATTTTTTTAAATGTGGTATTTCTATAAATGGAATATTATTCAGCCATAAAGAAGAATGAAAATTTATCATCTGCACATTAATGGATGGAACTGGAGAACAGCATCTTTGAAGTTAGCCAGGTTCAGAAAGCCAAAGGTCACATGTTCTCTCTCATATGCGGAATAGAGACCCAATACAAATATAAGCAACATTATATATACATATAAATATATGCAGAGCATGACCCAAAAGTGGGACTGGTAGAAGAGACTAAGTGAGAAGGAAAAGAAGAGAAGACATATAGTGAATAATAATGAAAATACATCACATCTGTATAGGAACAAGACACAATGAAACACATTGTAAACTGCTGAACAATGCAGGACTGGGGGAAAGAGTGGGGCGGTGCAGTGGAAGTGGGTTAGATTGACTTAAGCACAATGCATTTACTAGTAAAACACCAAGACGAAAATCCCACTGAATAATGAACATAAACCTAAGCAATGAAGAACAAGAATGTAAAACGGGTCATGCTAAAGGAAAGGCACTAAAGGGTAAACTAATAAAGTAATGAAGGTAAATATGGGGGATGCATTTTATATAGGAGTATGAATATGGAACATCCAAACCTGTTGAAATCATCGTAAGAGGAATAAAGCATAAAGAGAATAACGGAGAAGATGAACCAATTCAGAGTATAAGAGAGAGAGAGAGAAATGACACAGTAAAACTCCCCATATAACCATCATAAACAAATAATAATGTCTTTTTTTTTTTTAATGAAGGACAGGAAGGTAAAACAAATCCTGTGGGGGTGTGGTACCAGTGGGAGGGCATAAGGAAAGGGTGAAAGTATGAAAATGGAACAATGAGACATGTTGAAACTGTTCTAAGAAAGGGCGGAGGGGGATCTAAGATATACTGTAAGCACTTTTGTAAATGTCACAATGTACCCTTAATACAATATGCTAGTGATTTTTTAACGGAAAAAAAAATACAATTGCAAAATGAAATGCTGCTGACTTAATTATGCCAAAAATCATGGCCCATAAGAAAAATATGATAATTAAAATGATACACATTTACACAGGAATCATGTTTGATATTGTTCATATTTTAAGTACAAAGCTTGATGTAAGTCTAAAGATTAATAAAACAATTTCTAATATTCTCTTTTCTGCAGCATCTTGTTCGGTTTTTTTTCTTTTAAATTGTGTGACACGTGTGTGTGTGTGTGTTCATTTCTTTAAACTCCTCTGCAGTATTTCACTTTATGTCCTTTCTTCATTTCCCTCCCCCTCCCCGACCTCGTGTCTGCCATTTTTGCCCAGCGTTCCATCTCCTTTCACGCCCGCCTCTCCTCGGCCGCCACTCTCAGTGTGATCCTCTGCTTCCCTCTCCCCGACTCCTTTCTCCTTTTCATTCGGTCTCCCCTACGACTTAGGACTGAGTTCCAACTTCCCCTAGAAGTCCTTCTCGTTGTCATTAGTATAATTAAAGTTCATGATTGTTACTTAGTCCTTTTTCGCCCCCAGATTTGGACCCCGCAGTGGAAGCTCCCGGGAGAAGACTGCACCAAACCAACGTGTTCGTCCTTTGCACTAACGTTAATGTTTTACCATTTCAAATCATCCATCCTTCACCCGAAGCATTCTTTCAATAGACGACAGTATCACTCTTACTGTTTCTCCAACCCCGCCCGGCGTAAAATCTGTAAAATCCCTCTGCAAAAGTTTGCGGTTTTCTGGTTTGTATCATCTTTCCCCTTTCTGTCATTTCCCTCCGCTGCCAGGATGGTGCCGGAACAGGGCGGATCCCCCACTTGTACGGAAAGACAGGACGCAAGATGGCAGCCCCTTTACGGAAACGGCTCCTGGGAGCAGCCATGTTGCCTCCTGAACAAAGCCGCCAGTACGGAACAGCGCAGCTCTGGATCGCAGTGCAGTGACAAAAAGCGGGAGAGTTCGCCAGTATAAATATGACAGCCAGCCGGCTCCGTTAAGCCTTGACGGTCGCTTCGGGACCTGATCATCGAGCAGGGGGTCAGAAGAGGGACATGTGTAGTGATGAGTGAGTCAGTGGGATTGGTAATGGGAAGGGGTCAATGAGAGTCTCTGATGGGAGGTCTATGAAGTCACAGGTAAGGGGGTATGCAGGATTAGTGCTGGACTTATTTGGGAGTCAGGATGGAGCTATTTGATTTGTAGTTAGGCAATGATGAGGTGGTGGGGTGTCTGTGGGGTCATGAATGGCCTGGGGGCAGACTACCTATTAAGGATAACTGAGTGCAGTCATTTCAGCTGCTCTAAGTAATCTGATAGGAGGAAGGGAAGGCGGACTGAATGATGATGGCATCGATGTGGAATGTGTGATTGCTAGGCTCAAGGGTTCCGAGATATGGAGGGATAATAATGGGGTTAAGGTCTGACAGAATTGCTCAAGTGGTAGAGAGCCTGCCTAGCGGACACGAATCCCTAAGTTCAAGACCCAGCACCGCCAAAAAAAATAAAAAATAAAAATAATGGGATTATGGCATCATGGTTGTCATCCACATGTACTGAGAAAAGCTCTTACTTGCATTTAATTTCCACAGGTCACGGGCGGTTGTTGAATACTTAAAGGTCAAGCCCCTCTCACATCTTTTCTCAGTCTGCCATTGCCCCTTAACCTGGAGCCCCACTCAGAAATGGTCATTTTAGAACAAGACCAAGCAAATCAGAAGGAACAGGATTATAATGAAAAGTGGAATTTCAGTCCTCCTCTTTCACCGAAATCATTTTATATTTTACTCAAGAAACACTGAGCATCTGCTGGGTGTCCAGGAATGAATATGGCTGTTTCTCTTGTTCCCTTCCAGATCTGTTTTTGATAAAGCCTGGGATACCCTATAAAGCAGTGTCCCTGTCATGGGGACCTCCACTTCCTCTGAACCAGTTCAGCTCGATCCTTCTGGGACTGAAAAATATTTACCTAGTTTGTACCTATGTGTTGTGGTATTTTCTCTTTTATCTGGAGTTCCAACTTACTAACATTTGTATGCATACAATAGCACTGTTGAATATCAGCAATTAAAATTTGAACAAAAAACATCTTGAAGTTAACATTTTAGCCCAAGAATATTAATTTTGCTGGAGAGTTTTCTAAGTGGAGGAAAATATGAGAGCTCTTGTGAGATTATTGGAATTTAAGCTGCTGTTTTTTTCTGGGGAAAAAAAGGAATATACTCCTCAATTTTCCATTTAGTCATTGCCATTTGTATTGCCAGAGAACTCCATCTGCAGTTAAATCTTTATATGTCTATCCATGATTATTGCTTTGTAATAATGTTCTATAAATAGAATTGCTGGAAAGAGTATATTGTTAGTAAATCAACTGGAAATGTATTCTCACATCAATTCAATTAAAAAAAATAAACTTATCCAAGTTTTATGTGATCATTTTATGGACAAAAGAGAAGTAAAGATTGATAGTTGATACTTTCTCCAAATGGTGATTGCTGTTGTTTCTTTAAAACCCAAACAACCTCCCAACCTGTGGCTCATTATCCACCTGACTTCTGATGGTAGTTGTTTCTAGAATGCCGAATGTGAATACTGTATTTCAGGTTTGGGTTATAAAAATTTTACTTAATGCTTTTTTTTTCCAGATATTTGCCCTTCTGAAAAAGAACAGAAAATGAAATCTCAGGTGAGTTGTTTTCTATTTACTTACCACTTTGATTTTCCATCCAGTCAAATGGAAAGTATAGGTAAGCTAAAATTTGGATTAGGGGAAAAGTAGCAAAATAATGATCAAGACCTAGAAAGAGTTATTGAGTAATATGTAGAAAACCTGGCTAGAAATCATTTTCATAAATTGTTGTATCAACTTTTCTGATATTCCTTACAAATATTATCACATGATTTTGATTCCACTAAAGAAAAAGCAGATAAATTTCCATGGAAAGAAAACATTTCTTGCCATACAAGACTAAAAACAAATTTCCTTTTTGGCACAGTATGCTCACTAACACTCCTTTGGTTAGCAACAGTAGATTTCTTGTTGCTGTATCTTAAACTTACTGGCGGTGGTGGGGCGGGGGTGGCAGTTTATTTGTTTGTTTATGGATGACAGCTATCATAATCCCTTAGACAAACTCTTGGGATTTTTTTCTTCAGAGCAGCAAGTGTTATCAAGTTATTACTCCTGTTAAATCCAGTTCTCTGACTGTTTTTTTCAATAACCAAAGTTATATTCAGGCACAGCTGTTTCATTTGTTTACATATTGTCAATGGATGCCTTTGAGCTACAATGTTAAAGTTGAGTAGTTATAACAGAACACATGACTTGCAATACCAAAAATACACACTTTACCAAAAAGTTTGCTCACCACTGCATTAGAGGAAGGTAGTCTCATCATAGAAACTTGCTATAGTCCAGCTTTATACAGAGGTAACTTCTGGGTAATATAAAAGGATAGGCACATTTTTAATGATCTTCCAAAATACTTACTTCTCTTGAAAGAAGTTCTTACATTACATTTATCTGGAAAAACTTTGGAGGACAAAACTGATGTTCCACCTCTTTTGCTGTGCTTTCAGAATTTGTAGGATTACTGGCCAATTCAAGATTGTTCCTTCTCTGCTCTTGCATTTTTAAACATCTTTATTTTTTCCTCCTTGTTAACATTTTCTATATGAATAGTATAAACATTTAAAACTATACAAAATTATATGCAGAAAGACCTTTTAACTTAAACTCTCCTGCTATGGAGATAATCAATGTTAATTATTTGTTTCTAACCTTCCAATCTTTTATTAGTATAACTGCAGTTAAGTATGTCTATGTGAAAAAAAATTGCAGAATGTCTCGTATTTGACCTGTAATTTTCTTTTGGAAAAATAATGGTGTAGTTATCATTTTGCTCTGCAGTCTGGTATCTAACTCATTGCCCAGTATGAGGGTATATATGTATATATTTGTAATTTGTATCTTCCTATCTCAATACATAGAATTCTCCTTTATTATTTTATCAGATGCATAATATTTCCTTGTAGGCTGATTCTCTGGAACTCCTTCCTCATATGTAAAAATGGAGATTGGAATTGTTGAGAGAATTAAATGAGTAAAAACCATGCCTAGAACTATAACTGGGGCATGGTTTTTACCAAATGCAAGTGTTAATCCTTATTACATAACTATCATCATTGTCAAATCTTAAATCAGCTTTTACATTAGGAGTGCTTTTGTCTCTTTTATGGTAGAGTTTAACAACTGAATTATATTGCAAAAATATGGGATCACTTTTCTTCTTGGATGTCAGTAGCTTTAGACTTGTTCTGTCCTGTACAGTAGCCACCAGCCACGTGTGGTTATTGAACAGTTGAAATTGGCTAGTCTGGATTGAAATATGTTTTAGATGTTAAGTTTGTACCATAATTTGAAGATATAATTTCATAAAAACTCACTAATAGTTTTTAAAGATTAATTACATATTGAAACGATATTTCAGTAATATATTGATATAAATATGTGTGCCCAATAGATCTAACCACCTTAGTTAGTTAGCTAGTATGGTTTGTATTTTCTCAAAATTAACAAAATTTAGACCTATTAAATATCCTGAAGCATCTTTCTCATTTTACTGTTCTTCACATCAAAAGAATAAGCCGGGTAATGTATAAAACTATTTTAAACTAAACATCACTTTTCAGTTAACTTCTATAATCTTTATTCATTTTAGCAAACATTTCCTGTGTATTTCCTTTATGTCATATGCACTGGCTGGCTGTTGAATATCTCAAGAAGACTTATGCATGCTTTTCAGGAGAGTACTGCAGAGAAAAAACGAGGGTAAAGAAATGTGGAAATTCATAAAGCTCAACAACAGACATGGGAGCAGTACCATTGTCACAAAGAGAAGGGAGCAAGCAGCTTTGTAAGAACGAGAGGAACAGGCTTAAAAAATTGTTGACCTTTGGGTTATGACACAAGTAGGGTAAAGAAGGGATGCAGCATTTGTAAAAGTAGAAGGTGCAGAGTGATTTTAGCAAAGCTGAGAATTTGAGGAAACCTCCATTTTAATGGAAAGTGCTTCACATAAAGGTTGACTAAGGATGATATTGAAATGATAAAATATAAGCAATCATGTTTACAAAATCAGGGAAGGGGAGGCAGTAGTCCAGGCAAGGGAGTAGAATAATTCTGTAAATCTGAGTCAAGGTATTCAGTATATAACCTTTGGCAAGGAATTGCTAAGCCACTGCACTCAATTTTCTCATATGCAAAATAGGAAAATGAATTGGGTTGTCATACCAAACAATGCTTGGCAGCATGATGGTATACATGGGGAATTTGGTGTGGATGACTGAGGTCAGAGTGGGTATACAAGGAGCAAAACAGTGGAGCTTTTCAAGCAGGGTATATGTTGATATTTAATTGATAATTAAAACAAATTTGTTTTAATTTTGAAAGTAATACTTAATAGAATATTAGGGAAAAATCTTTAAAAATAGCTTAAATAATACTAATCATGTCACTATTAAATTATTTTCCACTATTAGAAGACAACTATTGCCAGGCACTGGTGGCTCACGCCTATAATCCTAGGTACTCAGGAGGCAGAGATCAGGAAGATCATGGTTCAAAACTAGCCTGGGCAAATAGTTCATGGGATCCTATCTTGAAAAAAAAAATCACAAAAAAAGGGCTGGTGAAGTGGCTCAAGGTGTAGACCCTGAGTAGAAACCCCAGTACCAAAAAAAAAGACAACTATTGGTGACATATGCAAATAGCTGATTTTCTCTCCAGAAAAATTCTATAGTTCTATATTTACCCAAGTCCTTTATTTCAATGCTATATAAGTACTTTGTTTTGGCTTCCTTCATGAACATTTCCTACATTTTTTGTTGAGTGTGTCATTTGGGAATTTTTGTTGTTGCTATTTTAATGATATATTTCATTACATTGTTAGCTATTACATGTGTATAAAAGAGCTGTTAAGTTTGGAGGAAGCTAAGATTTTTTTTTTCCTGTTAAATGAGGGGACTCAGTTAACCGTATTCAAGAATGCTTACATTCTGTGATTCCTTAAATATATTATTTTAATGTTAGTACTTAAAAAGGACTGGTTGCCCTACAATTATAAATTAAAATCTCCTTTTTCTCCCTCTTCCCATGACTTTTATGGCTTCTAGGACTTTTTAGAGTTTTAATTTTTGTCCATCAGATTTTATTATTTTGTTTTCCACCATGTAAGATACAGTATATTAGCTTGCTGGGACTGCCATAACAAAGTACCACAAACTGGATGGCTCAACCAAAAGAACTTTATTGTCTCACAATTCTGGAAACCTGAATTCCAAACCAAGATTTCTGTAGGGTTAGTTCCTCCTGGGGACTGTCAGGAAAGATCTATTCAAGGACTCTTTCTTTGGCTTATTGATGTCATCTTCTTCCTTTGTCTCTTCATATCATCTTCCATCTATGCTTGTCTGTCTCTTATTCAAACTTTCCCTATTCATAAGGACACCAAGCCCACCCTACTGACTTCATATAACCAGTTGTATCTTCATTGACTTTTGTTTTCAAGTACAGCCACAGTACAGAGGGATTAGGACTTTGGCATGTTAATTTTTAAGAGGTACATTTCAACCCATTATATATGGATTCAATATTATTATTTTCCTGTTGACTGTCCTAGTATTTTATTAGTATTCATGGAATCATTAATCTGTTTTCATTCCAGTTATTTGGATGCTACTATAATAATTTTTTTAGTTACTGTATGTATTAGGCAGGCATCTTATGGTTTAATCTTTTCTATTTTCCTGATCTTTCTTGCTGTTTTTGCTAAAGATAAGACTTTACACTGTTTCTCTGAAAAAACTGTGATTCAAAACTAGATATGGGTATAGTTTTGTATACTATCGTAGAAATGATGAGTATGATCACTTTAGATTGAACAGCAATGTACTGTTTCAGGGATTAGTGTCATTCAAGGATGTGGCTGTGGATTTCACCAAGGAAGAGTGGCAGCAGCTGGACTTTACTCAGAGGAGCCTATACAGGGATGTGATGCTGGAGAACTACAGCCACCTGGTCTCAATGGGTAATGGCTTCCCAACAGTAACTAATAGCTGTCCAGTCAATTGCTTTCCTAATCAGTTTCTGTGATTAGGTGGGTCTTGAAATATGTAATGACATTTATGACCTTTGTACCTTCCCGTATGGAAGGCATTACTTTGGTGAGGACTAACTGGACATCTTCATTATAGACCACCTGAAACTGTACCTTCTTTTCTCCATTCAGTGCAGTCTTTCCAATTCCTTCATAATTTAATAGGGTATCCAGTTTCTAAACCAGATGTCATCTCCAAGTTGGAACAAGGAGAAGATCCATCTATCATAAAGAGAGACCTACCAAACTGGATCTATACAGATGGAAATCACACAGATGAGAGACAAGGGAAGTGAAATAACAGTTTTGTTGTTGTTATTTTTTAGTTGATTGCTGCCTGAGACTTTTGCTTTAACCTAATTAAAAATCTACTATTCTTTGTTCCTGTGCTGAGAATTTAGTAAGACACTCAGCAATAATTGCATTTAGTGATCATTCAAAAAATGAAAGTAAGCCAGCCACTGGTGGCTTACACCTGTAATCTTAGCTACTTTGGAAACTGAGATGGGAAGGATTACAGTTGAAAGCCAGCCCAGGCAAATAGAACAAAATAAAATGTAGGTATGACTCAAACAGTAGAGTGCCTGCTTTGCAAGGAGGAAGGCCCAAACCCCAGTCACACCAAAAAAAAAAAAAAAGTAGAAGAAAGAAAATTGTGATCCCTTCAGTGAAGAGTTATTTCTTTCTGTCTCTCGCTCTCCTCCACCCCCCCCCCAATATGTGACTATACACACATAAATATTGAGTACAGTAACTCTTTTAAATGTAGAGAAAATCAGAGCCTAAAGAGATGTGGTAGAATTTGAGAAGGCATTTTCCACAGCATGTACCTATAGCTTGCTCTGTATGACATAAGTGCTGATGAGGTTGAAAGAAGAAGGTGGAACAGAGCATATATGAACACAACACTGGAGTGAGGAAGATACGGCTTTTATGGAACAACTTTGCTAGTTTTATTTGATACATATAGAAAGTATTTTATCAGGAACAGTGGAATTCTTGTGAATATTCTTTTTTTTTTGATGGGACTAGGATTTGAACTCAGGGTTTCACACTTGCAGGGTAGGCACTCTATCACTTGAGCCACACCTCTGACCTTGAGCCTATAACAAAATCTTGGGTTTTCCTGTTGTTTATTTTATCTGTTAATCTGGAATATAGACTGAAAGTATTTTGTGTACAGAAGAGACCTCATTTCTTTGGAGAAGTGGCAGGGTAATAGTTAAATATAAGTAACCAAATGTTTATAAGATGAATTCAAAAGGTGAAAAGGTTTGTATCTGGAATACAGGGGAACTGGGAAGATTCTAGAAGGGTAATAGAAGATTATAGTGGAAAGAACCCAGACACTTTTCTGTCTCCTTTGAGTCTAGTTTTTACATGAACAATTTCTCTTTAGCATCCCTTTCTATCAATTCACTTAATCATAATATATCATGTCTTCCAACATTCCCTGACTCCATCTCTATTTTCTTAGTTCCCTTAATTATATTGAGTCATCCATTTGTTCCACTTATGTACACTAAAAAATAGTGTGAGTTAATTGTCACTTATGACTTTTTGATTGTATTTTTCCTTTTTTTAGACAGGAAGAATAACCTTCATAATTCCCAATCATGGATTTTAGGGACTGTTTCCTTCCACAATAAGATACTGAAAGTTGTCTCAAAGGACGGCTCATTTTACTCCATTTTAAAAGGCTGTCAAGGTGATGGCCAGATGGAGAAAAGTCAGGAAAATCAAGAAAAAACTTTTCAGGCAAGTCACATTTGTCAAGAGCAAAACAGTGACTGAGTCATCAAGCCATAAATATAATGCATTAGAAAGAAGACTTCAGGAGTACATAGATCCAGATATATCAAAACAAAGACTCCATAAATATAATGCCTTTAAAAAGAACTTAAAATTTAATATTGACACACCTACTTGTAATAAGAGTAATTCAAGAAGAAACCTCGATGAGTGTTTTGGTTGTGGAAGATCATCTGGCCACAGTGGGTCCAATTGTAATCTTGAGAAAATTCCCAGTGGAGTAATGGTTTATAATGATAACCAATGTAGTAACATCTTTAGCAATAAACAGCCTCTTATTCAATATCAGAATTGTGAAGCTAGGGAAAAAACCTGTGCCTGTATAACATGTGGCAAGGCTTTTGCTAAAAAGTCACAGCTCATTGTGCATCAAAGAATTCATACTGGAAAGAAACCATATGATTGTGGCGCATGTGGAAAAGCCTTCAGTGAGAAGTTTCATCTCATTGTGCATCAGAGGACTCATACTGGGGAGAAACCTTATGAGTGTTCTCAATGTGGAAAAGCCTTCTCTCAGAAATCATCTCTCATTATACATCAAAGAATTCACACTGGGGAAAAACCTTATGAATGTAGAGAATGTGGGAAATCCTTCTCCCAGAAGTCACCCCTTATTATTCATCAGAGAATTCACACTGGAGAGAAGCCGTATGAATGTAGAGAGTGTGGGAAGGCCTTCTCGCAGAAGTCACAACTTATTATACATCATAGAGCTCATACTGGAGAAAAACCATATGAGTGTACTGAATGTGGGAAAGCCTTCTGTGAGAAGTCTCACCTTATTATACATAAAAGAATCCACACAGGTGAAAAGCCCTACAAATGTGCTCAATGTGAAGAGGCCTTCAGCAGGAAGACAGAACTCATTACACATCAGTTAACTCATACTGGGGAAAAACCATATGAATGCACTGAGTGTGGGAAGACATTCTCCCGGAAATCACAACTCATCATACATCAGAGAACACACACTGGAGAGAAACCCTATAAATGCAATGAATGTGGCAAAGCCTTCTGTCAGAAATCACATCTCATTGGGCATCAGAGAGTTCACACAGGAGAAAAGCCCTATGTATGTAGGGAATGTGGGAAAGCCTTCTCTCAGAAGTCTCACCTCCCAGGGCATCAGCGAATTCATACAGGAGAGAAACCTTACGTATGTGCTGAATGTGGAAAGGCCTTTTCCCAGAAGTCAGACCTTGTTTTACATCAGAGAATCCACACTGGAGAGAGACCCTATCGATGTGCTGTATGTGGAAAAGCCTTCATTCAGAAATCGCAACTTACTGTACACCAGAGAATTCATACAGTGGTAAAGTAATAATGAACTGACTGTGAAAAAGCCTTCAGTATTACTCAAACCTTAATAATTACCAAAAACTTGATTAATTCAATAAATTTGAGACCAAAACATTTATAGACAAAACTTTCCAAGGGAACTAATATTTCTACTTTGCTGATTTTATTTTTTCAGCAAAGATGATAAATAAGTATATAAATACATTTTTAATATTGTTTCTAAAGCTTTTGGAGTTATGAAGTCACTGATCAGTAGAGGGAAGTATATATACAAAATATTGTTCATTTACATATTCCTTGTTATGCCATAACCAAATTTTGAACCTGCTAGTATCTGCTTGGCATAATTACAACCAGGTAGTAATTCTCCATAAAGAACATGGAAGAAAGTGTGAGTAAAAAATAAACACAAGGTTCAATTCCTGGAAACTGTATTGTAAGAGGGGGTTTGAGCTACTTGTAAAATTCTTGTACAAAGATGGAAAGGTGAATTGAGCAGTTTCAATAAACTTGATACATATGTATTTTCTATCTCAAGCATGTAAATTGACCTGCATCTCTGAAAGGACACTGAACCTTGAAACTGATGCATTTTCACCTGGGCTTCCCTTCATTTTATCCAACTAAGAAGTTAGTGTACTGGAAAGACTTTGGTACTGAAGCCAGATAGTCTGAGTTTTTATGCTGGCTCAAATACTCAGAGATTATGTGACATCACACAAGCATGCTTCACTTGTTTGAATATTTTCTTCCTTATCAGTAAATAAAAATACAGTGTAGGGCACATTTTCAGCTAATGTTAGTCTTTTTTAATCTTTCTTTTCTCTTGCAAGAGGATGCTAAGACTGTGTAAAAATCCACATCTAAGCTTTCTCTGCTTTTGGTTGCTAACTCTTATAGTTGGTCTATTTTACTCTCTCTGACCTTGGTGGCCTTAATATTGCTATGATAAAATGGCATTTGAATACTTTTTATTTTATATACACTTATGTAAATGTAATTGAATTTAAAATAAAGAATCTGCCTGACATCTCTCTGGGTCTTTTTTGACCCCAACTCTGAAACCCCAACTGTTTTCCCTGGAAACTGAGGGAAGTTACAGAGAAAAACTCTTAGGAAGAGAGGACATGCCTGCATTGACTAGAGAACTTGATATCACTAAAATGTCTTCATTCTACTCTTGTAGTTCCACCTATTTCTTTATGAACAGCTTTAGACCAACACTCTGCTGAAGGTACTCTGTAGGGGAACATAATTGGTAAGGATAAGAGTATCTTTGGGGTAGACACAGTATCTGTACATAATTTCTGCTTAATTCCCTCACATTTCCAATCCAATAGATCCTTCTTGAATGCTAAACTGTCTGTGATATAAAAGTGAGACTCATCTGGGCAAGGTCCTCTATAGAGGAAAGGCACTTAACAGGGATGTGGGACTCAATACTAAGGATGCTAAACTTCCTCTAAATATTAATTGTTCAGGATAGGTAAAGAAGTTGAAATCCAAAGGAATGACCCATTTATAAATACAGAGACAACTAATTTTATTATTGAACAATAATAACATATAGCTATGAAATTATAAAGCTCTAGTGGGTTTTTAGATTTATTTATATGGAATTAAAGCTACAGTTGTTATAAATCATCCTGTTGTTGATTAGAAAATGGCAGATATTCAGTTTTCATCAGTAGTTACATTGAGTTTACTCTGATGTTCTGATTTGCCTAATTCCTCATCAGGCTTACTCAAATGCTCATTTCTTCATCATTCTTTATCAGCATATCTTGTGGTTGCTCCTGACAGTGCATGTAACACACACAATTGGTCATATACCTTAACATTCCTCTATAATGCTAGATCAGTTTTGTTTCCCACAATAGTCAATGCATTTCATACCAAAAATCTCAATAAACTTCTTTAAGAAAAAATCTTACAGTTTGGCTCTAAATTTATATGTGGAAATGTTCCAAGTCAAGAATTGCCAAGATACTTCTGAAGAAAAAATTTGGAGAATTTACCAAACTAAGAACTGATGTTAATTAAGACAATAGGGTATTACGTATGGGTAATCAAATAGAACAAAGGTAAAGAGAATTTAGATATGTATAATTACCTGTAGATACTTGAATTATGACAAAGGTAGCACACTAGAGCAGTAAGAGAAAATAACCTTGGCAATGTTTCTGTCTCAATTATCACTGTAAAACAGAAAATAAAATCTCAGTCTTTTTGTATGCAGTTCATAAGATCAATTCCACCCAAATTTGTAATACAGAGAATTACATAGAACAAATAGAGATCAGGAGAGAAGAATGTCTAAAAATATCTAAGCTTCTATCTCAAGAGGTTAAAATAAAAACATAGTGAAATAATCTCCAAAAAAGCAAAAGACACACGATAAAAGATGATAAATAAGGAAAAAAATACAAATTAATTAGGAAAAGAAAACATTGTTGATTGAAAAGAATAATGCAATTGATAACCCCATGGCAGTACAGATAGAGATAAATAAAGCTTAAATTCCCAGTACAATGAAGGGGACCATCAATTCATAATCTATAGATTCTTGAAAGTTATATGAAGATTTGAATCCAGCCAAATGTTTAAGTAAAAAAAGGGCCAATTCCACAATTTATCTTCCAGAAAAGAGAAAAGTAAAGATCCCTTCCTAATGTAAGATTAGCATTACCTTGTGACTAAAGCCAGACAAGGACTGTATAAGAACAAATACCTAGTGACCATACACAATGAATCTTAAACAGCATATTTTTAAAATCAAAACCCAGCAGTATTTTGAAATTAAAGTACATCATGGCCCAATAGGTCTTAATCAAGAATGCAAAATTCATTCAAATACAAAACCAATTAGTGTAATTCATATCAGTACCTAAAATAGCAATATTTGACCATTTGAATAGATTCAGAAAAATTATTTCACAAAAATTCAATGCCTATTTAGAATAAAATCTCTTAAATAATAGTTATGGTCACTCTGCCAGACATGGAGTCAGCCATTTGTCCAAGGAGTACTGTTCCTCTTAGTGGCAATGGTTATTGAGACCCCCAATATGGCTGCTTTTGGTGCTTATTACCAAAGAGACATCCTTGGATATAGGCTGTCATCAACAGACTTGGTGAGAGTACAGACAACATTTTTTAAATTATGAGGTTATACTGGTCACTTCATATTTTTAAAAATATCTTTGATACTTTACTAGTAATCACTTTCATCTCACACTGAAAATGATTCCTAACCACATTTGCAGATACATTTATTTTACCTTAAAATATTTCTAAACAGGGCTAGCAAAATGTCTCAAGTGGTAAGAGCACCTGCCTAGGAAGCATGAGGGAGTTCAAATCCCTAGTGTTTTATATATATATATATGTATGTATATATATATATGTGTATATATATATATACCCAAACAAATCACATATTATCAATAATAATATTAGTTATAGTTAACAAAACAAAAATGAACAAAACCAAATAACAAATAATAAAAACAAATCAATTCATAAGTTGAAAGCCTAGGTTCAGTCTTTTTATATTTGATGGCTATAAAATTTCAACAGTTAAAATAATCACATCAACAAGCTAAAACACAAATGTTTCAGTGTTCTAAGAGGTGTACTTATACAGATCAGATGTTCTGTGAAAACACAACTTCTTTTTTCTACCGCCAAACTAATAAGAGGTTTTTTTGACATACTTCTGCCATAGGTAAACATTGTGTTTTTGACATGATGAGGAAAGAGAGAGATCACAAAACTTGCTATCAAATCATTCCTCCACTCTCTAGCCTGTCATACACATCTCAAGCTTGAGATGGTTTTCTGGAATCTCCCTCCAGACTATAGTTCTTAAAGAGTTATATTTTTTTCACAGGGCCAGATGCTGCACAGAATTAATAACAGACATCACACACATCATTGCTTCTTTCTTTGCTACATCAATACACGCCACCATGCTGTCCTCTTAGAATATTTTTATCAGATAGAAAAGCATCTTGATGGTTTGGGGAGACATTTCAGAGCCAGAAAGTAACAGTAGCCATTTCTTACAGTACCTTTTCAGATGGGGAAGTGGAAGCTCACAGAATTTAAGGAACATAAGCGGAATGTGCAGGTTGTACCTGACATGGCCTTGCTCATTGCAGTACCCAGACTCCCATTCTGCTAAGAGTAGATTGCCTGGGAAGAATGGGGTCATACTGAAGGCCTTCTAGTATGTTCCCTAAGGCCTCTTAAGGATACACTCAGAAGAACAGATGCTCTCATGTGTCTCCAGTGATCACTTCTACTATACTAGTCCTGTTTCTGAATTCCAAGCCACATTTTAATTTTTACTTTCTGTCCTCAAAATAAAACATCATAGTAAAACATCTACCTGTTACAATGAAACTCCTGATGAAGACAAGCTAAGTCCTCTTACTTTTAAATTTTCAAACCCAGAAAAAAGTGTTTCCAAGGACAGAGATGTTTAATTTGTCAATTCCACAAAGCGAAATGTCTTCCACCAAACTGTCCCACATCGATGAATTCATCTCTTCATCTCCAACCTACAAGAATGTGCCTTAGTGGACTGTTTGGCAGTATGTTGTCTTAAAATATGTGTGTTTGGGGAATAAAATTAGGAATGTTAATTTTCAAAAACAAAAAAAAGGATGTGCCTGATTTCCAGCGTGCAAAACACTGGCAACTATAGGGGTAACAGTGGAGATTTTGAAATGGTTTGTAAAGGTCTGTATCAGGCATTGTGTATACGGGAGAAATATATACAGAAGTCATTTCAGAGGTTACCCAAAACCCCTTCGAAGTACTTACAGAACATCAACAGTGAAGCTTGGGTAGCAAGAGAGGACTTCTATCCAGTCTTCACCCCTCTTGCAAAGAAGAGGGAAGACTCTTCTGAACAGATGACCTTCCTGAAAACCTGAGCTATCACCTCAAAATGTAGGATAATGTAGTTTATATCTATTCTAATGAAGCCCCAGCCAGCAAAGATGAGCCTGAGCCATATCCTTATCCAAATCTGGACTATTTCTTAGATGAAAGGAGCTTTTTTGCTTTGCTTTAAT